TTGAGTTAACAGTTACACCTCACTGACAAATGTCAGTAAGCACGATACCCTGATACCGGGCTTCCTGCCGACTACCTCCAACTATCCAATATCAGCCCAAAAGCATACCATCATGGGAATTTCCCTAGACCGATGAACACTTTTGAAACTAGATTGTCAGTAATAACAATCATCACGCTACAGTAACGTAAAAATGAAAATTATAAGTAACATGAATGTAATTCGGTTACTATTGCAAGCTAACGTCTCGCTGCCATTGTTCGTATTTAAGAAAAAAATAAAGCTACAGCAATAAGTAATACGATATATCTGCAAAATAGTCAGGTGTGGTCAAAATAAGAAAATGTTTCCTTAACATATTTTGTTTTTCTTATCTCAGCTTGATCATCAAATAAATAAGTGACATTGAGGAGTGTGAAAAGAACGTCCGCCAGTTATTTAAATGCCTTTGTAAATTCAAGTGATGAGACTAAACCATGTTGTCTTAAAATAATTTGATGATTAGACTTTTCTCAGTACTAAATATTATTTCATTTGAGTAACTTGATCTTTTAGAAAGCAAAATGTTCCTTCACGCAGAAAAGATTCTGCAACCTTAGATATTGGCCAATTCATGTCAGTTATAAGTAACTTTAAATTCTGTAAGCATTTATTGAACAGTTAGCTGAATTGATGGCGAAATTCTAGAATTTTGCAAATTCCTCAGCTAATAAATAATTCACCTTTAAATTGGTCGGCAAAATTATCATTTATCTAGACATTTTACAAAGGATGCACTATCTTTTTAGGAAAGCTGATAGTTACAAGTTATAATAATTTCAGTAGACTGAGACTGAAATGTGTGAATATATCAGGCTAAAACCACTTTATTCATGCCTGTCCCCTATCATAAACCATTGGCACCTATAGTAAACTAAGCGTTCACTGTAAGGATATACTTTAAATGTACTTTACTGTGAAGTTATTAGTAATGGGTTATCGCTTTGAAACGACAATGAAATCTCAGTGATTAGACAGCCTTCCATGAAAAGTGTAATGTAATGAAAAAAAAATTTGATTTTATAGAAAATCACTGAAAACTAAGGCTTTCTAGGAACCTCTTTTATCCTGTTTTAGAACCGCACCGAGAATCGATCCCAAGATTGAGCATATTTCATATTGAGAAACTCTAGGAATTCCATCACATAATCAGTCACTAATGATTAGTGATTTCATAACAGATTTCATTATGAGTAAAAAGTATCCCCCAACCCCATTATTATACTGATTCCGAACACATATCAATAGTCTTTTGGTATTCATTCAGCTGTGAATGGAACCTCAAACAGAAACTAGTACACATAAAACAGTCTTATTTTTCGAATATACCACTAATTACTTGAAAAAGAATAATAATAATGATACTAAAGGTGTGAAAACCGAGCATAACTTGTATCCGAATGGGTTCTGTCTCCAAATCCATTAAGAGACGATTTGGACTACTAGAACGATTTCCATAGAGATAAACAATGAATTCTATTGTAAATTGGTATGTAGTGTTTGTGGTTTAAATAAGATTAATTTTTCATTACTTCCTGTGATAAGAGACACATCCATAGTTTCTATGAAAAACTGCCGTTGAAGATGTATGGTAACTTTTCATCAGAATAAATGAACAAACAGTATTTAGAAGAGTTAATATTCTACGTAGTCAGCTGAATTGTCTGACATAATTTTTACGTATACTGATTGACTAAAGCAAGACTGAGGCGAAGAACAGGTGTATAAGGGTTCAGACCAACTGTTTTTTCTAATAAACTTAGGAAGATGTAGGTTATTTGGCTGTGGATCTTAAAAACCTAAAAATTATCGGTTGGAAGGAGTTATCTGGCGAGAAATGTCAGTCTCCTCAAGTGACTTTTCATCTTTGAATTCTTTTTTTCGATGAACTTTATTGAAATTTTCTATCCTTTAAATGTTTCTCACGATTTTATTAAGATTATTTTTTGTTCTTCTGTTTGCCGTGGACTTTCTCGAAGTAACATGACGTAATAAACATTTGTGCAGAATTCTACGCTGATATGATAATGAAGTAATATTGTGATTATCAAACTTCTCATTTTTGAATTGGTAAGCAGGTCAAAAGTAAGCCAGGTAGATTCATATGCGTTTAGTTATGCATTACTATTTAACTAGGTAGGTTTTTCAGTATTCTCTATCTAGTCTAAAGCGAATAATGCTCATGGATAGTATTGGTTGATTGCAGAAGTGTATCGTGAAATGACACAAGTTAGTGTCTGTACGGTCAACACATTTGGTGTCGTAAGCTGGTGGTTGTGACTGCAAATTGCTGAAGAGTCTTGTACTCGAATGAAACAACTTTCTGGTGTTACTTCGCTTCTAATGATTCTGCAATAGTCATTGGTCCGTAACGAAATCTACACTGAAATGTATTCGTTATTATCAATTTACCAGTGTAAAAATACAATCGATCAAATTGATTATACTTCTCTTATTTTTGCTTTTTACACACTTATCTTAACTACAGAATACAAGTTGTATCATTATATTAATGGTAATATCATATACCGAAAATGATTCAATGAAATGAAAGCCATAAATCTTTACTTGTAGATGGATAGATAAAATATGCATCGTAGTAAAGTTTATCTAACATACCTTATCATATCACATCGTAGACATACCATCAGTAACTGTATTAAATCAATCATAGATGAATTCTTACTTAATAAAGTGATGTTATCAAGGAACAATTTATAAAATTTGAGTGTATTAAGTAAATGGATTACAAATTATGCAGTGATATGTTAACATTATTAGTAATACAAACATTTCTATGACGTATTTGTGCACCGTTTATTAAGTGAGGTGAATATCTACGTTAATAACTTTTCATGCAAAATGAATCAATTATTAGAAGTTATCTGTTTGATGATGGCTATTAGTGGATTAAAGTAGGTGTGCTCTATTCTGTTTAAGATTTTACAGGCTGCTTTACTTGCATTCCAGTGAATGATTGTGTCCCAAATGAGACTCGAATCTAGCACCCGTCGTTTCAAAAGATAAGACTTTATCTACTAGTCTAGTGAAATAAGTAAACAATTTCATGTTTAACAAGGATATTAATATTATTAATACTGATTCCTTGTGTTCCTAGTAGAACATACGATCTCAGTGACACATCTCTGTTACACGCGGTTCCAGATCCACGATTGCCTTAAAGTTTTTGCTTTTAACTCTCACGATCTTCTCCATATTACCAACAGATGTCCAAAGAGTTATTTCATATCCGAATTCCATTCGACAGTATTATATGTGATGTCACTGTAGGTGTCCTCAATTTATGTGTAGTTCTGAAAACATAGACCAAGGTTGTTTTTGTCGTCTGAACTCTGTTATCCAGAACAATGTTTTCATATACGAGGTTATGAGCCGCACTTGTACGATAGTTGATGACACTACTAAGTTGTTCAGGCTGAATTAGGTAGTGTGGGACTCGAATCATGGACCTGATGGTTGTATATCAATTGCTTAAGCCAATGAGCCACCCAGGTTAATAACGGATATGATTCAGTAATATTCTTATGTTCGTAGGTTTCCATGTTGATAATTGTCAACTTGATAATTATTCATTAATTTAATATTACTGTTCATTTTTCCAATTCTCCTTTTATTACAAGTGACCATAGTTCGAAGTGTTTATCTTGTTCTATCGTAGATCTCATTAGTAAGGATGAGTAACATTTTTATGTCACAGCTGGGTCATTCAGTCAATTACACAAATGTTCTCTAATAATTTGGGAGCATCGTCAGTTAGTCTTCAATTTAAAGCTTATTCGCACTCATATATGTAAAGGACTTCCTTGGAGGCGAATTAAGCATCCATGTAGCTGGATATAACTAATTGGGTTTCAATTGATTCGCCTCTACGATCTAAGTCAAACCAAGTAAACTCCTGATTAGATCGGTTCCAGACTAGCGAAACAACCATCCAGAGTTCACATTGCTTCGATCTAGTTAGTTAACACTATCTTCTAGATACCGATATCGATTAGAAGTATCTGTCGTATCGAAACAGGGCCGTTAGTTGACAAATAAGTGACATCATTTACCATTATATTAGAAAATAATATAAACCCTAATTTTATAATATTAGGAGTGGGGTTCACTTAATCGTGTATAACACTCATTAACGATGCTCACCTGAGGTGCCATTTTGAAGTTAAAGGTCAACGGATTCTAATCCATTAATCTACTTGAGGCTCAAACTTTCCTGGAATGAGCACTACAGACTACGCCAAAACGACGGTTTACTACACTTAACGGTTGGGATAAATCACAGTGAGTCAAGCGAACAACCATCAAAATAAAATTCAGCAAACAAATAGATGAGCCCATAGTTAAAACCTACAAGTATGAATGAAGTGCAAAAATTACACAGCAATTTCACCCAAATCTAATATTTCAGTACTGTCCGAATTATAGGCTTATAGGATGGAATAATACATGCATATATACTGGGATGATGACTTTTGCAGAGGCCTTTGGGCCGCATGGAGTGGTTACCAGCTATTGTGGTCAATCGTCAATGATTCGTAAAAGTCAACCTAATGAATTCATGTACTGAAATTGATATGGACTAACAATAAGGCCTCTTATCAGAAACTGGAGGATATTCTTAGAGCGAATCAGAGATCGCTAATCCTAATAACAACTTTTAATGCTTGCTTTGATTCCTAGATAAAAGAATTTCCTCAAATTACACGTTTTTACCAAAGGCTCGTCTGATTTATTATTCGTGGTCATTCTGACGGTCGTTCGCTCGAAGAGCTATACTTTAACACGCTTGAATTACTATTTACACTACTTCTTTAAATATAATTTCAGTACGAAATCAGATCTATCTTGAAGTCAGTCGAATACCCATACATACATGTGAACACTTAACACAGCAATTTAAAATAGGATAACAAAAATAAAAGTATAATGGAATAACTTACTCTTCACGGAATGTATTCCATCCAATAATACTGCTGCGATTAAAAATATTCCTAAAATTTTCATAATGACTACTTTTTTCTCGTCTGTTGTGCGCTGATTGATTACTATTCTGTGAAATGCTCAACTTTTGTATACAAAATAATGTAGGAGATAACAGTTAGTCAACTTATGACACGTTGATTTCCTTTAAGTCAATATGTATTGTGAAAAAATATAATTCTTCATGTGTATATTTATATACGCATAGCCTAATGGTAACACACACAAGTCCATTTGTATGAGTGGGTGTTATCAGTGAATTATATTAGTGAAGATGGTTGTAACCTATAGACTGACTGACTATCGTCGATACTATAACATAGTATAGTAAGGATGATATTGTCTCTCTGAATTTATTCTATCAATTTCATTGGTTAAACCTAGTGGACAGATTTATTTTAAGCTGATTTTCTTTTTCTCCTACTTCATTTGCCTATTTCAAAAAAAAAAATTAATAAAAATCTTGATGTTGTGTTTATCACACAATCAAAAAAACAGTTTCTTAAATTTTATTGGTTAAAGTCGGCGAATATGCTGAACAGTAGTTAGAATCATAACTAGATATGAAAGCCATGGAACTGGAAAAGATTCGGTAGTTCCTTTCATGAAGTTCACACAAAAAATTTACACGAACCTTCTAACTGTACTGTAGCCATAGCTGGTGACGAGAATTTTTTTTATCTAATTTGTGAAATTTTAATTTAGCGATAGCTTTTGGTTTAAAAGACATTAGGTATCATGAACTGACTTCATTGACAGGACCATCACCAAAAGTGAGCCACTGCACACTAGTGACTAATTCAAGACAGCGCCGCAGACTTTTGATGCTAAGTTGTGATGGGTAGATATCATCAAATCTAGTGTAGGAACAGATGCTAAGCGGTGATATTGAATCGTGCTGGTCCCATTTTGTTAACTGAACCGAGTCACATTTGAACAGCCATCGGATTCCAGCCCAGTAGCTGAACTTTAACGTGCTTGTCCCACAGCCTGAACCTCTTTAATTTAGTGCTTCCAGGTCTCACTGCTGAACAGCGACAAGAGGCAAACATATGAACAACACAGCTGTTAGCATACAGACAGAAGCAGAAATAGTTGAACTGCATGGTTTTAACTTGCTCATAGACCTCTGGTGTTATGACTGAATCTTCTTTTATCCTGTTCAGCAATTTTGTAAGTAGATTTTCTGTTCTTTCGGTTGTATCTTTCTGGTAGGGTGATTCGAAGAAAGACACAACGAAAGAACAGGAAACCTGCTTACAAAATCGCTGAAGAGGATGAAAGAAGAAGAAGTAGAGATACTTGTGAATTTGTTTACATCTTAACATATTTTAAAATTATAGAAATAAGCGAAATATCGACTGTATCAGAAATAAATCTTTAATGTAATCGTACGGATGAAAGTTTTATAAGCTGTGAATTATATAATTTTATGAATACTCAGTGTTACTGGTGTACACTATAGACGAGAAATATTGAAAACTTCACTGTGAGACTAATATCGGGATAGCAAACGACTGAGAGTGTAGAACCTACTGAATCGACGTAGAAAGTTTGTTATTAAACAACATTGCAAGGTCTACACTTACTCTTCTGAATTAATAATGTCCTTAATTCTCATACAACGCATTCCCTTGATCATCTTTCTCAAATCGGGAAGAATAAGATTTGCAGTGCCTCTATTTCACTTATAAAAATGACGTCACATCCCACTGTATTTACCAATTTGAATGTACATGTGGACACACATACATAGGGAGGACTCATCGATCTCTGCAAGTAAGGGCTTCAGAGCATATTCCAAAATGGTTCCAGAAACAAATGGAATCTTCAGACCTATTAACGGTGAGAACAGGAGACCTAGCTCTTCTATTGCGAAACATATTATAGAGACAGGTCATAAAATTGATGTTAACAGATCTTTTAAACCTATATATAAAACGTGTTTCGGGTGTATCTAAAGTTTGTAGAAGCCCTTGCAATTAGAAAGTTCAAGCCACCTTTATGCGTTCAAAAACAATTTGTCATCACATTAAACCTTCCTTGGTAAATTTGTTTCGATACCATAGTAGATGTACTATTACCTCTGTCATGGGTTTAGTGGTCTTCATTGTTATTTTGACCTTGAATATGTCCTTTTAACTTGACCTAAGTCTATTTTTCTCACCCTTACTCTTTATTAATTTCATATATATTCCTATGACAAGTCCGTGTGTGATCAGGTTGTTCGAAATGTGTTGGGCAAATACATTACACGATTCAGACAAATCACGTCTTCTTATTGCTTTATATAAAAGGAGTGAAATCCATATTTCATTTGGACTGATATTTCATGAAATGTTTATCAGAAAAGTCACCTATAAAAATCACAACAAGTTTAGTCTTCGAAACTGAATGAAGACATCGTCAGAAACCTACACTACACAGAACCAGTGAAAACCTCATATATTATTATATCCTTTAATTCCTAGAGGAACATAGAGCTTCAGCTGCTCGTCTCCATCGCCTTCGGTTTTCTGCAAACTTTTTCACCTCGCTCCAAGTCTGCCCACACATGCTTTCATCTCCTCTTCACATGACCTCCTACAAGTCACCCTCGCACTGACGACCAACTCGTCGCTTCCCTTTCGGGTTCCACTCGAGTAATGGCCTGGCGTGTGATGTCACTTGATGGCTTGTTTCCTTGGAGTATGGCCAATCGCCTCCATTTCTTCCTGCCTATTTGTTTCACAATCGGTTCCTGCTGGGTTGGTTCGCTCACAGGGATCCCTGTTGCTGATCTTTTTTGGCCGGCCATTGATTTGAGTATTGAGCGAAGACAATTGTTAATGAAGGTCTGAAGTTTGTTTGATGTGCTCCTTAAGAGGCGCCAAGTCTCTGATCCGTACAGTGAGTAGCACTGACTTCACATTGAAGTTGAAAATCCGGATCTTATTTTTGATGGTGAGTGCTGTTGACCTCCACACATATAACCCCATATATAATTATTCTTTGTTAATCTAAGACTCTATAGCATTAAGTACACGCAACCATCCGTCTCTTAAAGCGAAGTTTTAAAGTTAACACATGAGTTACTCAATTCATACCTGTTAGTTAGATAGTTAACGTCCTGGCCTGGTAACCTAAAGCTTCTTTGTTCAATCTTTGGTAGGGTGTGGATGAGTACTCATATAGACTGAAAAAGTTGGACGAAATAACTATCTAATGGTCCTTGATTTCTAGTACTCATTATGACTGATACCAGACTGTGACGAAATCTATGCTGAGAACAACGAAAATTCCTATTGAAGCGAAGTATTTTCCTCTTTTCAGAAGTTGGAAAATCTCGCCTGAACGACCTAATTATAATACTGGTGTTTATTTAGATATTTCAGCCAAGTATATAACTAATATCCGTTTTTCCTTAGGCTGTATTTCACTGTCCTGATATTTTTATTTCATTCATTGGCTTAATCCTTATTATTTGTCTTTGTTCTTGTTTAATCCCGAGTTTAAATGTTTCTCTTTCAGCTTGTGGGGTGGTGTTGATAATGTGCCTCTTTATGATCATTATTTTGTTCAAATGAAGTCAAGGTGGTCAGTGGAGAATTTAACTTTGAACTGTCTGCGGGAGTTTTCATTGTGTGATTCTTGTTGACAAACTTTTGATTCCATCTTGTTGGAAATATTATTCTTGAGTCTTAAGTACTTCTTACAGCTGATTTCGGTTAAACAATCTTCTTGTATAGTACTTATTTTGTATTTGAGAGAGCATTCGATCTGTGTAGCTGCATAATGGCATCATTGAGGTGACTTTGCTTTGCAGCATATTATTATTATTGTTAAATGGTACCACAGAATTTATCGCTAATAACTAACTGTCTTTCCCTGTCATCAAGGCACTTTGGACCTTGAGTGACTCAAGAAAGTTTTGGTTGGCTATATAGTAGAGCGTGAAGATTGGTTTTCAGCGCTCGGAGCACAGCACACCGGCTTTGATCGCTACGAGAAATGACTCATTCGGAATTTCACTGAATAATTTTTTGCATCGTTTATCTTACTAAAGACAGTGTATTTCAAATCGGTGAGTCTCATTCACCCAAAAAATCTAATTTTATTATACAGATTAATTAGTTAGAACTAAAGTTCATAGCTTGACAGTGATTACACTTCATGAAACAGAAAATGAGCTAGTTGAAATTAAGGAAGTGGTAGATTTAATAAAAAACTAATTTGAAATAATTTCGATCTTTTTCGGGGATGTTTTCGCTGGTGAAATGATTTTGCCTCCTATGATATGCATATGTTGAGATTTAGACTACTCTAAACTTAATGTTCGGTCGGTTTCATATTAAATAAATTTACTCAATACAGAGTACTGATATTCATACCGTTATAGGCAATAAATTGTAGTCGAAACGACATCCAGGCATTAGCAATACTATATTCTAATGAATTATATTCTGTTGTAACGGTAGAAGACAAGAGTCTTGGTAAAGGAATGTTTATCTGGAAGTTGGTATCTCTATACAGAGAAATTGTTTACACCTTATCTGAAAATCGTCATTTGCACAGATCTCTCATATTGTGCTATTCATATACCCCATATTGTGTTTGTCTTCTTTTCTTCTGTCTTATGTTTTGCCAGAATGCTGAATCATTTTCTCACTTCGAAGTCAAATCTATCTCTCCGCTATTTGATATTTTTATGCCGATGAACATCACTTTATATACTGCTGGCAAATCTTTTCAGTAGCACACCCCACACTATCATAGCGCACAAATTCTACTCAAATAAGTTCGGTCTGTTCATAACATTATAAATTATTTAAATTAATCCCAGCGTGTTAAGAAAATCAAAACAAGATTTTTCTGAACGTTTCGCCGTGTAAGCCACAGCTTCTTCATCAGATTTATTCGGATTATAATTAATCCTCAAAATATATAGTCAAAATTTTTTTACATAAAATGAAGTCAGTTTATTTGAAGGTCATTTGTCTATGGACATTTTTTACCAATAGAAGTATGTAAGCAGCCCTCACATC